CTGAAACTAAACGGTAATATTCGATTTCCATCCGGTTCCCCTAAGAGCCGGACGAAACCAGAGCCTACCAGAGCCTACCGGAACGGTACCGAACCGGTAGCGGATCGAAACGGAACGGTACCGAACCAATAACGGATCGGAACGGAACGTTACCGGTACCAGCACCTCCCGGTTCCGCTGCCAGACTTACAAGTAGGTGAGTTGGGTCGTACATGGGTGAATTGAAAACAAGTCAACATAAAATAAGTAATAACTTGACCCATCAATATTTTGTATGAGTAAAGTAGGATGGATGATGAAATGAATTGAATAAAAGACGGATTGATCCATATTTAATTATATTTCTATAAAGGCATGGTACTTTACATTAATATTTAGAACTCGATATTCAAATAAAATTCCAGTAATCTAATGATCATTTTTTTAAAAGAACATTATATACTATTAATCTACATTACATTCGAAGTCAAAGTGCATTAATTAAGACAAAAAAAAGTTTTACAAGAAGAAAAAACTTTCAAACTACAAGTAATATAATTAAACAAGACCATGGGCTTAGGGATGGTAATTACTAATTAGGAAAGGGTAGGGTGAGACAATGAAATTGTAGCTTACAACCAGTGGCGGATCCAGGATTTAGAGTCTGTGGGTGTCAAATAGACTTATCGATTAAATTAATTTTATATTTGATTGAATTATTCGTCTTTTCGATATATATCATAAATCAATCAATAAAATATAAATAATAAGATGTTACACTTTCATTGAGTATTTAATCAAATAAAAGAAAAGTCAAAGGAGTAATAATGTAATTAATTTAATTTAAGTCAATAACAATTATAAAAAAATAAAAATTGTGCCAGCTGTTTTTCCTTAAAAAAACGTGCTTGGAGCCTTCTTTTTTTTTCTTAAAAAACGTATGCAGCAAATTTCTCACAAAAAAAAAAGTACAAATGAGATTCGAACCCGCAACATCAGTCTTCTAAAGTTGCCCTCCTACCGTGGCACCACAAGCCAGTTTTGTTCTATGAATGGCACACTTTATATTTATATAAATATTATATATATATATATACCTATGTATATATAGAGTTTCCGTCGAAGTTTGGGGTTGGCGTGGCACCCCCACAGCCCTTCATAGATCCGCCACTGCTTACAACCTTTAAGCTAATTTGGAGGAAATAAAACTATTTTATTTGTCTCAATTGTGGAACGTACTTCACTTATTAAAATATTAATGTCTTTCTTTAATATTTATGATATTTTATAATACAAATAACAATAATTATAATAATTTCTTATGCAAATTCAAAATTTACAGCTGAAAAATCATTAAATCATAGTATTATTTAATTAGGAACATAACCCCAACAAATACAACTTAAACATATAATATTTGAACTCAAACTGAAAAAAGTACTTCCTAAATTTTTGTTCATCGTCAAAAATGGTATTCGTTTATTTTCTTTTTATATGACATTATGTCTTTGTTAATCACTACAAAACAGAGTTAAGTTTGATGTTTTTACCAAAAAAATCTGTAAAATTCGAAACACACAAATTTTCAACATGTGAAGGTGCAGCGAACTAAACGAAACAAGCTTCAAATTTACTTATATAGTTAGTCAATTATGAAGTAGGAATGAAAAATCAATTAACCCCTTTACGACGGTAAAAACAATTGTTGAAAAGATTGAATTTCATATCAAATTTTAAGTCAGATACATGCAAATCACACTAAATATACACTACATATATGTATCTGGTGTGCTTCGCATGTATCTAAAACACTAGATACGTGTGTGAGATATCAGATTGGCGAGCGAGATGAAATGGAGGCGATCGAGTGAGATTTGTCTATGTATCCAGATATGTACAAATCCATTCGAATATAGTGTATCTAAACAAATTTCACCGAATTTTGATCTCATATTTTCCAAGATATCTGGATGTATTTGGATACACCAAATAAGATGAGATTCATAATATTACAAACTAACATGTATATAAGTAATTAGTTCCTAAATTACTGAAATTTCGGTAAATTACCCTTAAAACAATACACAAAAGAGAAGAAAGAAAGGAAAGTGAGAACCAAAGAGCCAACTTTCCAAACCTAAGACGCTTACGGTATGTTCAATGTGTATTACTATTTGTTATTTCACGTGTTTTTATCTTGTTATTTAGTTATCATATTTTTATTTCGCAACTCATTTTGAAAACTTATATTTTGAAGCGAGAGTGTTTTGCGAAAACAACATCTCTACTCCCACAATAAAAACTCTCTTTTATATTGAAGCACAATCTCACAACTCGCTATTAAGGTTATATTTTTGGAATTGGAAAAAATAATTTAAATGATAAAGTCGCTATTGAAGATATGAGCAACTTGATTTAACAGTTGAATGGGTTCGAAAATCATATATTTTATTGAAAGAAACATTTAATTTCATGAGTTTTAGGGATAAAGTAATAATGTTAAAATGTTACGTTGATGTTTTGAGGATTCGATTGTTTGGAAGCAAATTTGTATTATTCCACAAAATTACTGTTAGTAATGAAATTTTACTTGTTTAAATAACAATCAAGGTGAAGCAAGGTCAAGAACGATGAATATTCTCATAAAAATAACTAGATACGACTTACGAAGTTATACTCGTTGCAAAATTTAAATCAACACCTTACAACACAAACTAACGAAAATCATACACCACATGGGTTTGTATTCTCGAAAGAACCCCTCTCATTCAAGAGAATTCATGGCAACTCTTTCCTAGTTGATTTTCAGCCATAACATGTTTGCAACCAATTTCCTACATTAAAATATTAATTAAAAACATTAAGTTTGATAATAAAAAAAATATTACTTGCATAAGAACGAGTAATAGTGTAAATAATATGCTGAAATACGCCAAATGATGCTTATTGCTACTTGACTTTTATTTACAATCCTCAATTTATTTCGAGTCCTATGTATTTTGAATTTGAATCTTGTTAAAAAGAAACTGTAAAATATATTGTGCTATAAAAAAAATCATTGATTTTTAAAAGACGAGGCAGCAAAAAATATAGTAATTGAAATGTCGATTTTACTAAGCATATGAGGATTTTAAATAGCCAATTTGAGCACATAATATACAAAAAATCTGTAATTCAAAATTCAAAAAAGCTAGAATTTTTCTACAACTAAAACAACCTAGTAAAGATTAAATTTCAAATTTATCCTAAATTTAGACAATTTATTATTATTAAAAATTACTACAGTAACTAAAGTAAAAATTCAACAAAAATGTTTTGGAAATCAACTTTGCCAAATCATTATTACCTAACGTTGAAAATCGTTAGATATGTCAAAGAAATATTTTCATACACGAAATATAATAGTATTGGTTTTAAATAAATTGCTATTAATGATTTCATAAAATGCATGACATCATTTTAATAAGGCCTTTAGAATATCATTTTTGTTTAAATATAGAGCTTTGCTTCTTAAGTCGGTCTTGTAAATTTTGTTTTTGGCTTGTATGACATTTAGCATGTTGATTTATTGTGCTATGATAGATTTTAGTGGACTGAAATGTATAAATTCATAGATGGTTTTCGATATAAATTTTTTTTGGTCAAAATTTAATATAAAACAAGAAAGGAGTTTACGCTTGCTTGGTAGGCTTAGTCTTACTAAGCGAGTGCCAAACCAATCAAGATTCTAAGTCGATCGTGACAATATTAGATCGACGATACTAGAACACTTTGAGCCTTGATGAACTAATTGATGTCTAAGAGTTGGTAATAAATAATAATAATGAGAGTGATCTTTGTTTGGAATTATTTTTTTCTCCTCAAAACAGATGGACCCCGTTATAATTTAGGATTTCCATGTACAAGACTTTGTGCATTGACTTGAGAATGACAAAATTTAAGTCTTTGTTTGAACACTTTTTTCTTCTTTTTTTAGAGTACAATATGTGTTTTATTCCGCTACATAAATGATTTTATACATCTGTATCTAAAATTAAGAAGGTTATGGTGATAATTCTTTACCGTACTAGTCTAATCACCTCTTTCTTTTTCGAAATTGCACTTGACACCAAAGATGTGGTGGAATAGGTGAGATCCCTCTATTCTTAACAACAGATCTTGAGTGAGATCCTATTAACTAATGTATTTGAGTTAAATTACATGTTATATAGTTTGTGTTTTAATTAACATTATATATACTATCAATTAACATTAATACATCAGAATAACAATTACGTTACGCTATGCTGTTAAATTTGGATTGAGAAATCGAAATTTGTTTTTGTTTTGTAATTATCTTGCTTTGTCTTAATGTGTAATCACATCAAAATGGAAAATCAAAGTCAAATGTTTGTGTGTTAGGTAGCTTTCATTTGAAATTTTGAATTTGTTTGTTAAGTAACTTTCATTTGAAATTTCCACTCACAATTCATTATCTTTCTTAGACTTAATTTCATCATCTCTTTATTTGTTTTAGATGCCTATGCAACCCATAAACAACAGGTTTGACTTTACTCTTTTCTTTTGGGACATGAAACATAGATTTCTCACATTCCAAGTAGCTTCGCCAATTTCACGATAAACCCTTACTTATAAAGCATGGGATGATTTAAATGAAATAACGTAATTAGTTAGAATAAAATAGCCGATCCAACTTCTATGTAAAGAGTTGTAAGACCAAAGCTGGTATTTATTTCCTGTGTAGTTTGCAATAATAAAATTTCAGTTGTGAGTAATCAATTGTGCCCAACAATTCCCAACAATCCACTCGTATATTCAATAACAACAATAGTGGAGAATGGGGCCCTTAATCCACTACAATTAGAGTAGAAAATAGTGATGCACTTTCTTATGAAATTTCCATGGCAAGACTTGCTATGCATTGACTTGAAAAACAACAAATATTTCACTATCAATCATAGTTTTTGCCTTGATTATATATATTTGCATTGATTCTTCATAATTTTCACTACCAAATTTTGAACTCTTTCATTCAAACATGGACTACAAGCAACTCTCAGTTGTGCTCTTACTTGTCTTTCTCCGTCACAAACTTGTTTTCTCTTCTTCCATATTACCTCATTTGTGTCCCAAACATCAAAGTACCACCCTTCTAAAATTCAAGCAGACGTTTACGATAGATACATTTGATATGTGTGGACTTATGCTTGGCCAGGAGTCTTATCCAAAGACGATCTCATGGAACTTAAGCAGAGATTGTTGTTTATGGGATGGAGTGAAGTGTGACGAGATGAGTGGTCATGTCATTGAACTTGACCTCGGTTGCAGCCTGCTTGTTGGGGTGATTGATTCCAATAGCAGCCTATTCCAACTCTCTCATCTCCAAAGACTCAACCTTTCTATGAATAACTTTGATGGTTCTCAAATCTCACCTAAATTTGGCAGGTTTTCAAGCATGACACATCTTGATCTTTCCCGGTCATATTTCTCAGGTCAAATTCCTTCTGAAATCTCTCATCTTTCCAAGTTACACTCTCTTCTTCTCTCCACACTTTATCTCAATAAGCTAAGACTCGCAAGTCATGATTTTAAACCACTCCTTCGGAATTTGACCCAATTAAGAGAGCTTAATCTTAGATCCGTAAACATCTCTTCCACCATTCCTCCGATTTTTTCTTCTCATTTAACAACTTTGAGGTTGGGATGGACAGGATTGTATGGGATAATACCCGAGAGTATTTTCCACTTGCCCAACTTGCAAAGACTTGACTTACATCACAATGATCAGCTCAGTGGTTATTTTCCAAAGACCAAATGGAATAGTAGCGCATCTCTCATAGAGTTAGATCTTACTGACGTGAATTTTTCTGATACTTTACCCGAGTCTCTTGGCTATCTAACTTCGTTGCAGTCTTTGTCTCTTCAAAATTGCAACCTTAGAGGGCCTATTCCCGAATCTCTTTCAAATCTCACCCACATAGAGTCTTTGTACCTTGGAGTTAACTCCCTGAATGGAACAATTCCGTCATGGATATTCTCCCTTCCATCACTAAGTTTAATATACTTGAGTAATAACCAATTTTCTGGTCAGCTTGAGGATTTCAAGTCCAATTCACTTGTCTGGATTTACTTACAAGACAATCAGCTGCAAGGCCATCTTCCCACGTCAATTCAAAACCTCGTGAACCTAACAACTCTTGATCTTTCATCGAATAATTTTAGTGGTAGTGTGGATGTTAGCTTCTTTTCGAAGCTCAAGTATCTTTTAGATCTTGGTCTTTCATATAATCGTATCACATTGATCAATGAGAATAAAGTTAAATCTACTTTGCCTGAATCTCTTGAGAAGTTAGGATTGGCCGCGTGTGAAGTGAAAGAATTGGAGTTTCTAAGATCCGCGAAGAATCTCAAGGAGTTGGATCTTTCAAATAATAAGATTCAAGGAAGGATTCCTGATTGGGCATGGTCTAATTGGGAATTTTCAGTGTCAACTCTTAATTTATCTCACAATATGTTGACAAGCATGGACTCAATTCCTCTTCTATCTCTAGATACTATTGATTTGCGTTCCAATTTTCTTGAAGGGTCACTACCTATTCCAGCTAATTCCACGAGATACTTCTTCATATCGGAAAATAATCTTAGTGGGGAAATTCCTTCGTCTCTTTGCAATTTGATGTCACTAAAAATGCTCGTTTTGGGAAAAAATAACTTGAGGGGAACAATTCCACAATGTGTTGGGTAACATGAGTTACGATCTTGAGGTTTTGGATATGCACCACAACAATCTTTCGGGGACTCTTCCAACGACTTTTAGCATTGAAAGTTCACTCAGAAGCCTCAACTTGCATGGTAATAAACTACAGGGGAAAATCCCCCGATCTTTGGTTAATTGCAAAAGGTTGCAAGTTCTTGATTTAGGAGAAAATCACCTCAACGACACATTCCCAATGTGGTTGGGGACTTTGCCTGAGCTTCAAGTTTTAAGCTTGCGATCCAACAAATTACATGGGTCGATTCAACCTTCAAGGTTTGAAAATATGTTTCCCCAGCTCCGGATAATAGATCTCTCTTACAATGCCTTCTCAGGAAACTTACCTACGAGTCTATTTCAACATCTGAAAGCCATGAGGACGATTGATCCATTGACAAAGTCACCAAGTAATGAAAGAGATGGATATTACCAAGACTCGGTCGTTGTAGTAACAAAGGGATTGGAACTTGAAGTTGTGAGAATCTTGTTTTTGTACACTACTATCGATCTTTCTAGCAACAAATTTGAAGGACATATCCCTAGTGTTCTAGGAGATCTCATTGCACTTCGGGTGATGAATTTGTCTCATAATAGATTGCAAGGTCATATTCCATCATCACTTGGAAATTTATCAGTAGTTGAATCATTGGACCTTTCATTCAACCAACTTTCAGGAGAGATACCAGAACAACTCGCTTCTCTTACATATCTCGAATTCTTAAGGCTCTCCCACAATCATCTTGTAGGATGCATTCCTATAGGACGTCAATTTGCTACATTTCAGAACAATTCATATGATGGTAATGATGGATTGCGTGGATTCCCTGTTTCAGAAGATTGTGGAAGTCGCGAGATGCCAAAGAGAAACAACACAACACAAGTGTTGAATCAAGAAAGCAACTCCACATTTCTAAGTGAATTTAGGAAGACAATTCTTATGGGATATGGGAGTGGACTTATCATTGGACTCTTCATAGCATATTTCATGCTTTCGAGTCGAAATTCCAATTGGCTTTCTAGGATCACTGAAGAACTAGAATACAGAATCGCTATGAGAAGGCGAAAAAAGAAGCAGCAGCAAGGCCGTCAAAGGCAGCACTAAGAATCCAGTTGGTGGAATGCCCCATTGGAGATGCAATATGATGCTTGTTTTGGTGATGGTGGATTATGAATTTCAATGTATTCATTGTAGTTTTTTTTACATTGCACGAATTCAGATTAGTCAGGTCTCTAATGTGAATATCAGAAACTAAATGAAAAACCAAAAAAAATCATGTCTCCTTCTAAATATCATGTCTAATAAGGTCTATCAACAACTCAATATCTTATTATTATAATTATAAGGCAGAATATCTAAAGACCCCCTAAACTTGACACTTGACGTGTTTTATTCAAATCCCACATGAACTATACACAGTCCTAATTACACCCTGTACTTATTTTATTTTTTTAAATTGTTATCCCCTCAAACAATGATTGATTTCTTTTGAAATTTCCGTATCAAGACTTGTGCATTGACTTGAGAATAACTAACTTTAATTTCCCTCTTTCTTTTCAAATTTACAATTGGTCAAGGTGGATTTTGGAAATAATTACATTGTGGAATAAAATTGTTTGAATTGACAAAATCAAGTTTATTTTAATGACTAGCAGGCCTTGTACCTTTCCACTATCTTTCTTGGACCTGAGCAACAATGTCATCCAAGAAGATATTGAAAAGTTAACACAACTTGAATATCTCAATTTTTATAAATCAAATTAGCCATCTTCAAATCCTGGCTTCACCTCTAAGTCGGTGGTAATTCAAGGAGATCCATTTTAAGTTTGACATGCGAAATGTGAGATTGGCATTTGACATCAGTAAGAATGTTGAAAAAGGTGAACTTGGTTATTCGTTACCTTAACACTCATTACCATGTTGCCAATATTCTACTACCAAAAGCCCAATTTCAACGTCTCAAAAATCACTAGTGTTTCTCGTCTCTACTAGATTTGAACCCTGTAGACCTCATATGATTTTCAACCACTTCATTTGATTGTTGCACAAACTACTTAATTATGAACTTTGATAGTTGGTGTGCAAGATTCTTTTTTGAGTGCATGAACTTGATTATGGAAAAGAAAAACTGAAAAGATTATATTCTCCGACAAATGAACACAATCATTCAACATTTCCATGGACAAGACTTGAGGATAACAACATTTTCCAAACTTTGAATTGATTGATTATTTCATATAAATGCAGCAGTTCTTGCTGACTTTTCCCTCTACATTTCCCCTTTCCTCTTTTCTTTTGATTGTACAAATACACACTAACATGTATTAAAGTTGTGTGATTAAAACACAACCAATGCAACCATCACAATGGAGTTTTGAGATTCTTCAAGCAAATCAATAAATGAGTATTTGAACTAAAGATTTACGCATAAATAATCAACAGTTATACAGTTTTTACAATAAAAACGAACTTCAAATTTCCAAAAAAGTAAAAAAACATGGTCAATATATGAAGACCAACCACAATGACTGACATTTTGTGCACAAACTTGATGCTTTCCCCTTTGATAAGTCTGACGCGGCAAGAATCCAGATTAATCAGGTCCCTAATATGAATATTGAAAACCAAATAAGAAACTAAAAGAAAAAAAGTCACATCTCATTCTAAATACCATGTCCAATTAGGTCCATCAATAACTCAATATCTTATAATAATACACAAAAAAAAAAGATCCATGGCACTTTGTTCTTCATCTTAATCATGTCTAATTTTTGAGGATGACATTTCTCTACTTTTTTGGCTAGTATATGCTTCTTTTGAAATTTACTTAGCAAGACTAATGCATTGACTTGAGAATAACAAACATTAGTTTCCCTATTTCCATTCAAATTTACAATTGGTCAAAAGTGGAACTTGGAAATAATTACATTGTGGGATAAAATTATAAGCGTTGACAAAATGAAGGTTTATTTCAATGAGTCGAAACTGTGCTATTGTACCATCTTGTTGGACTAGCAGGCCTTGTACCTTTCCACTATCTATGGCTTCTGTCCCAATCAGTATGAGACTCTAACGTACATAATATATTATCAATGTACAGTTGTCTTGGATGAGATTTAAGCCTTATACTCCTGTGGTTTTCACCCATTTCTTTGACAATAAGGCCACTTATTCACCGTTAAACCACTCACTTCTCAGGACCCGTAAGTCACAGTAGACTCAGTAATCTGTAAAGAATTTGTGTTCCAATAAATTAAATTGAAATTTCTGTTTAGCTTTCTGCTTTCCTTCGGGAGAATCACAAAAGGGGTATTTTTTTAATAGTTCAAAATAGTAGAAGAACACTTGGATGAGTAGTAACAGTAAATGAAGACTTGAATGTGTTGTAGCTTTCATTTGACATTTGCACAGCAAGACTCCCACAAGGACTTGAGAAACAACTAATCTTCCTTTTTCATCATTCACCGTCTTTCTTGACTCTAATTAACTTCCTCTGCTCTTTAATTTCATCCCAATTACTTCTATATGGGAATATATGACCAAACTTTTGCCCATAAGTTTTTGAGATGATTTTACATGGTAGAGAGACAAAGACTCATTGACTTCAAAGTTATTCTTATGCCGCATTTTACACGCAAGACTTTTAATATGATATACTACGATATAAAAGTGTACCCCGCAACAATTTCATCAAATCAAACAATCCAACTCAAAATCATTTGGCAATATACGAGGATGGTTCCCAAAATACTCTCTATACTTCAGTCTTTCACTCTCTTATACCTCTTTACCGTTACTTTTGCTTCTACTGAGGAAGCAAATGCTCTCTTAAAATGGAAAGCAACTTTACAAAACCAGAACAATTCCTTATTGGCTTCATGGACACTAAGTTCTAATGCATGTAGGGACTGGTACGGGGTTAAATGCTTTAATGGTAGGGTAAACATGTTGAATATTACAAATGCTAGTGTAATTGGTACACTCTTTGATTTTCCATTTTCATCTCTCCCTTTTCCTAAGTATCTTGATCTTAGCATGAACAATTTCTCTGGCACCATCCCACCTGAGATTGGTAATCTCACTAATCTTGTCCATCTCCAATTGTCCAACAATAAGATTTCAGGCACAATCCCACCACAGATTGGCTCACTAGCAAAGCTGCAGCCTCTCCGCATATTTGACAACCATTTAAATGGCCCCATCCCGGGAGAAATAGGTTGCCTAAGGTCTCTTACTAAGCTATCTTTGGGTTCTAACTTTCTTAATGGTTCTATTCCTATTTCATTGCAGAACTTGACCAATTTGTCTTTTTTGTATCTTTATAAGAATCAGCTTTCTGGCTCTATTCCAAAAGAAATAGGTCACCTAAGGTCTCTTACTGAGCTAAGTTTGAGGAATAACTCTCTCAGTGGTTCTATTCCGGCTTCATTTGGGAATTTGACCAACTTGTCTACTCTATATCTATATGAAAATCAGCTTTCCGGCTCCATTCCTGAAGAAATAGGTTTCCTAAGGTCTCTTACCAAGCTAGTTTTGAGTACTAACTTTCTTAATGGTTCTATTCCTGCTTCATTGGGGAACTTGACCAATTTGTCTTTTTTGTATCTTTATAAGAATCAGCTTTCTGGCTCTATTCCAAAAGAAATAGGTCACCTAAGGTCTCTTACTGAGCTAAGTTTGAGGATTGTATCTTTATGGAAATCAACTTTCTGGCTCCATTCCTTTGTCTATTTGCAATTTAACATCACTACGAAATCTAAATTTGGGAAGAAACAACCTTAAGGGAGAAATTCCGCAATGTTTTGGCAACATGAGTGGTCATCTTGAGGTTTTGGATATGCACATCAACTATCTTTCAGGGACTCTTCCAACAACTTTTAGCATTGGAAGTGTACTCAAAAGCTTCAACTTACATAACAATGAACTAGAGGGCAACATCTCTGTATCTTTGGCTAATTGCAAAAAGTTGCAAGTTCTTGATTTAGGAGATAATCACCTCATTGCCACATTCCCGATGTGGTTAGGAACTCTTCCAAAGTTGCAAGTTTTAAGCCTAAGATCAAATAAATTACATGGATCAATTAGAACTTCAAGGATCGAAAACATATTTACTGAGCTTCGAATTATAGATATATCTTACAATGCCTTGACGGGAAACTTGCCAACAAGTTTGTTTCAACATTTGAAAGCTATGAGGACAATGGATCAAACAATGATGTCACCAACATATGTTACTATTTATTTTGTAAATGGATATTACCATGATTCCATAACAGTTGCAACCAAGGGATTGGAGCTTGAACTTGTTAAAATTTTGACTGCTTACACTGCTATCGATCTTTCAAGTAACAAATTTGAAGGACATATCCCAAGTATTTTGGGAGATCTCATTGCACTTAGGGTGCTAAATTTATCTCATAACGGATTGCAAGGCCATATACCACCATCACTTGGAAATTTATCAGTAGTCGAATCATTAGACCTTTCATTTAACCATCTTTCGGGAGAGATACCACAACAACTTGCTTCTTTGACGTCCCTTGAATTCTTAAATCTCTCCCACAATTATCTTGAAGGATGCATTCCTAGAGGACCTCAATTTGCTACATTTCAGAACAATTCATATCAAGGTAATGACAGATTACGTGGATTCCCAGTTTCGAGAGGTTGTGGCTATGATGGGGTATTAGAGACAAATTATACCGTACCTGCACTAGATGATCAAGAAAGCAATTCTGAATTTCTCAAAGACTTTTGGAAAGCTGCTCTTATGGGCTATGGAAGTGGACTATGTATTGGATTATCCATAGTATATTTCATGATTTCAACTGGAAATCTGAAATGGCTTGTAAGAATCATTGCAAAACTGGAACGAAAGATCATTATGAGAAGGAGCAAGAAGCAGCGAAGTGAAAGGAATTACAGAAGAAGAAATAATCGCTTATAGCCAAGTTAATAATTGAGAAGGATTTGATTTCATAATTTCAGGTATTCAAGCTAAGCTCTACACTAATCTTCTTAGTTTATTTGAACTACTAATATATTAGTTTTCATACTTGTTATAACAACTAACCGATGCTCTGCTAAACATATTTTTCTTTCCAATAATTTTAGTAAGTACTACAAGATATTGAAAAGGATTAGCTTGTTTATGTTTTGAACTAGTAAAAGTTCAACTATAACATCCGATAGAGGGATTCATGTAAATAAAATTTTAAAATCTATACCATAAGTAGTTGGAAGTAATCATTACTGGGACTAATAGTATATCGATGATCAAATGATTTAGTT